TCTGTGTGGTGAGTCTGTGGGTCTCTGTGTGGTGAGTCTGTGGGTCTCTATGTGGTGAGTCTGTGGGTCTCTGTGTGGTGAGTCTGTGGGTCTCTGTGTGGTGAGTCTGTGGGTCTCTGTGATTAGTCTGTGGGTGTCTGTGTGGTGAGTCTGTGGGTCTCTGTGTGAGTTTGTGGGTCTCTGTGTGGTGAGTCTGTGGGTCTCTGTGTGGTGAGTCTGTGGTAGGTCTCTGTGTGGTGAGTCTGTGGGTCTCTGTGTGAGTTTGTGGGTCTCTGTGTGATGAGTTTGTGGGTCTCTGTGTGATGAGTCTGTGGGTCTCTGTGTGGTGAGTCTGTGGGTCTCTGTGTGGTGAGTCTGTGGGTCTCTGTGTGATGAGTCTGTGGGTCTCTGTGTGATGAGTCTATGGGTCTCTGTGTGGTGAGTCTGTGGGTCTCTGTGTGATGAGTCTGTGGGTCTCTGTGTGGTGAGTCTGTGGGTCTCTGTGTAGTGAGTCTGTGGGTCTCTGTGTGGTGAGTCTGTGGGTCTCTGTGTGATGAGTCTGTGGGTCTCTGTGTGTGATGAGTTTGTGGGTCTCTGTGTGATGAGTCTGTGGGTCTCTGTGTGGTGAGTCTGTGGGTCTCTGTGTGGTGAGTCTGTGGGTCTCTGTGTGATGAGTCTGTGGGTCTCTGTGTGGTGAGTCTGTGGGTCTCTATGTGGTGAGTCTGTGGGTCTCTGTGTGGTGAGTCTGTGGGTCTCTGTGTGGTGAGTCTGTGGGTCTCTGTGATTAGTCTGTGGGTGTCTGTGTGGTGAGTCTGTGGGTCTCTGTCTGAGTTTGTGGGTCTCTGTGTGGTGAGTCTGTGGGTCTCTGTGTGGTGAGTCTGTGGTAGGTCTCTGTGTGGTGAGTCTGTGGGTCTCTGTGTGAGTTTGTGGGTCTCTGTGTGATGAGTCTGTGGGTCTCTGTGTGATGAGTCTGTGGGTCTCTGTGTGATGAGTCTGTGGGTCTCTGTGTGGTGAGTCTGTGGGTCTCTGTGTGGTGAGTCTGTGGGTCTCTGTGTGAGTGAGTCTGTGGGTCTCTGTGTGGTGAGTCTGTGGGTCTCTGTGTGGTGAGTCTGTGGGTCTCTGTGTGGTGAGTCTGTGGTGCTGGCCACCCACCCCCTCGTGTGCCGTTCCGGCCTTCATAGGTGCTGCTAGCTAACAGCACTTGCCGCTGCAGCCTGTTAGAGGCTACACGGGGGACCTTTGTCTGTGTCTGTGTGTGAGGCGCTAGCTGACAGCACTTGCCCCTGCAGCCTGTTAGAGGCTACACGGGGGATCTTTGTTTTTCATGCGTCTATGGGACCGTCCATATATGACGTCACGCGACTTTGGACGATTTTTGACCCCCCTCCTGCCCCCCTCTTCACACTGCGTCACAAAGCTCTCCCCCCCCCCCCAAATTTTTTTTAAAAAACTAAAACACTAAAAAACTAAAACGCTAAAACACTAAAAAACTAAAACGCTTCAAATCGCTTTAAAACTATCGTGCGGTATTTAATGCGGCGCTGCAAACTCTGACGTCGTAGGAGAAATCATTTATAAAAAATCAATTTAATTACAGTAGAAAAACGTATTCTCGGTTCTTTAGGTAAAGTCGCCACGTTAGGAGTGAAATAATAAAATAAAAATATAAAATAATAAAATCTAAATTTAAGCAGAACGCGTTGCCACAAATGTCTGACCCCACCCCCCACCCCCCAGGTGCGTGACGTCATTTATGGACAGCCCCTTTGTGTGGGTGCGTCTGTGTGTGTGTGTCACTGTGTGTGTCACTGTGTGTCACTGTGTGTGTGTCACTGTGTGTCACTGTGTGTGTATCACTGTGTGTCACTGTGTGTGTCACTGTGTGTGTGTCACTGTGTGTCACTGTGTGTGTGTGTGTCACTGTGTGTGTGTGTCACTGTGTCACTGTGTGTCACTGTGTGTGTGTGTGTCACTGTGTGTCACTGTGTGTGTGTGTGTCACTGTGTGTGTGTGTGTCACTGTGTGTGTGTGTGTGTCACTGTGTGTGTGTGTCACTGTGTGTGTGTGTCACTGTGTGTCACTGTGTGTGTGTGTCACTGTGTGTCACTGTGTGTGTCACTGTGTGTCACTGTGTGTGTGTGTCACTGTGTGTGTGTGTGTGTGTCACTGTGTGTGTGTGTCACTGTGTGTGTGTGTGTGTCACTGTGTGTCACTGTGTGTGTGTGTCACTGTGTGTGTGTGTCACTGTGTGTGTGTGTCACTGTGTGTGTGTGTCACTGTGTGTGTCACTGTGTGTGTGTCACTGTGTGTGTGTGTGTCACTGTGTGTGTGTGTCACTGTGTGTGTGTCACTGTGTGTGTGTCACTGTGTGTGTGTCACTATGTGTGTGTGTCACTGTGTGTGTGTGTCACTGTGTGTGTGTCACTGTGTGTCACTGTGTGTGTGTGTGTCACTGTGTGTCACTGTGTGTGTGTCACTGTGTGTCACTGTGTGTGTGTGTGTCACAGTGTGTGTGTCACTGTGTGTGTCACTGTGTGTCACTGTGTGTGTCACTGTGTGTCACTGTGTGTCACTGTGTGTGTGTGTCACTGTGTGTGTGTCACTGTGTGTGTGTCACTGTGTGTCACTGTGTGTGTGTGTGTCACTGTGTGTGTGTGTGTCACTGTGTGTCACTGTGTGTGTGTGTGTCACTGTGTGTGTGTGTCACAGTGTGTGTGTCACTGTGTGTGTCACTGTGTGTCACTGTGTGTGTCACTGTGTGTCACTGTGTGTGTGTGTGTCACTGTGTGTGTGTCACTGTGTGTGTCACTGTGTGTCACTGTGGGGAGCGGTGGGTGTAGCGGTTAGCGCTACGCTGCGCTATGAACCTGGCGACCCGGGTTCGATTCCCGCTCACGGCCGACACCACCGGTGACGATTATCTGAACCGGTCCCGGGCCTCCCCTAGGTCGACTCGGCCTCAAATGAGTACCTGGTGTAGCGGTGTGTAGTAAACATCGCCACCGGGGAGACAAAGGCGGCCGGGCGTGGTGCTGGCCACCCACACCCTCGTGTACCGTTACCGGCCTTCATAGGTGCTGCTCGCTAACAGCACTTGCCCCTACAGTCTGTTAAGGCTATATGGGGGATCTTTGTCTTTGTCTTTGTGTCTGTGTGTGTAGCTGGAGAAGGTGTACGACCCAAACAACGGGGACGATGATTTGGTGGAAATGGAGGAAGAGCGACTGAGGATGAGGGAACACGTCCTGAACGAGGTACCCACCTGCTCCTCGCGCTGTGATTGGTCGGATTCTGGGCTCGAGCGTCCGCGATTGGTCGGATTCTGTGCGAGCGCGTTCGCGATTGGTCGGATTCTGTGCTCGGGCGAGCGCGCGCCGTGATTGGTCGGATTCTGAGCGAGAGCGCCGTGATTGGTCGGATTCTGAGCTCGAGCGCCGTAATTGGTCGGATTCTGTGCTCGGGCGAGCGCGCCGTGATTGGTCGGATTCTGAGCTCGAGCGTCCGCGATTGGTGGGATTCTGAGCGCGAGCGCCGTGATTGGTCGGATTCTGAGCTCGAGCGTCCGCGATTGGTGGGATTCTGAGCGAGGGCGAGCGTGACCGCCATTGTGAACCACCCCGTCCCCGCGTGCCCGGACCAAGGTGGACTTGAACAGAGACCACCTGGTGAGCCTGGAGGAGTTCATCCTCTCCACGCAGTCCGAACAGTTCCACAACGACGACTCGTGGGAGGTGACCCGCTCGCTCGCTCGCTCGCTCACTCACTCACTCACCCACCAAACCCACCCACTCACCCACTCACTGGCCCACTCACTCGTTCGCTCGCTCGCCCACTCACCCACCCGCCAACTCACCCACTCGCCCACTCACCCACTCGCCCACTCACACACCCACTCGCTCACCCACCCACTTGTTCACCCATCCCCACTTACTCACTCACTCAATCGCTCTCTCACCCACCCACCCACCCAATCCACCTACTCACCCACCCATAGACTCACCCACCTGCCCACCCATCCACTCGCTCGCTCACCCACTCGTCCACCCATCCTCGCTCACTCACTCACTCACTCGCTCACCCGCTCGCTCGCTCACCCATCCACTCGCTCGCTCACCCACCAACTCGCTCAACCATCCCCGCTCACTCACTCACTCGCTCACCCATCCCCGCTCACTCACTCACTCACCCACTCACTCACTCACTCGCTCACCCATCCCCGCTCACTCACTCACTCACTCGCTCACCCATCCCCGCTCACTCACTCACCCACCCACTCGCTCACCCACCCACCCACTCGCTCACCCACCAACTCGCTCACCCATCCCCGCTTACTCACTCACTCACCCGCTCTCTCGCTCGCTCACTCATCCACTCGCTCACTCCGCCCCCTCTCAGTCTCTCATACCCTCCCCCCCCTCCCTCCCTCTTGTCCACCCCTACAATGATCCACCCCTAGACCGTGGACGACTCGCCGATGTTCACAGAGGAGGATTTCGCAAACTACGAGCGCCAATTCTTACCTCATCACGAGGCTGAGGAGCAGGAAAGGCATCGTCTAGAGGAGCAGCAACAGCAGCAGCAGGATCATCAGCAACAGCAGCAGCAGGATCATCAGCAACAGCAGCAGCAGCATCATCAGCAACAGCAGCAGCAGGATCATCAGCAACAGCAGCAGCAGGATCATCAGCAACAACAGCAGCAGCAGCATCATCAGCAACAGCAGCAGGATCATCAGGACCAGCAGCATCAGCAACAGCAGCATCATCAGCAACACCAGCAGCATAATCAGCAACAGCAGCATAATCAGCAACAGCAGCAGCAGCATCATCATCAGCAGCAGCAACAGCAGCAGCAGCAACAGCAGCAGCAGCATCAGCAACTGCAGCAGCAGCAGCATCATCAGCAACAGCAGCAGCATCATCAGCAACAGCAGCAGCATCATCAGCAACAGCAGCAGCAGCAGGGACAGCAGCAGCAGGGACAGCAACAGCAGCATCAGCTGGGACAGCAGCATCAGCTGAGACAGCATCAAGAGCAGCATCACCAACAGCATCAGCAGCAACAGCAGCATCAGCAGCAGGTGATGAAGGCTCCTCTAGGATGCTCAGGGTTCAGTGTTAATGACAGAGGCTCATAGAGCCAGACTAAGGCTCCTCTAGGATTCTCAGGGTTCAGTGTTAATGACAGAGGCTCATAGAGCCAGACTAAGGCTCCTCTAGGATTCTCAGGGTTCAGTGTTAATGAGAGAGGCTCATAGAGCCAGACTAAGGCTCCTCTAGGATTCTCAGGGTTCAGTGTTAATGACAGAGGCTCATAGAGCCAGACTAAAGCTCCTCTAGGATTCTCAGGGTTCAGTGTTAATGACAGAGGCTCATAGAGCCAGACTAAGGCTCCTCTAGGATTCTCAGGGTTCAGTGTTAATGACAGAGGCTCATAGAGCCAGACTAAGGCTCCTCTAGGATTCTCAGGGTTCAGTGTTAATGAGAGAGGCTCATAGAGCCAGACTAAGGCTCCTCTAGGATTCTCAGGGTTCAGTGTTAATGACAGAGGCTCATAGAGCCAGACTAAGGCTCCTCTAGGATTCTCAGGGTTCAGTGTTAGTGAGAGACGCTCATAGAGCCAGACTAAGGCTCCTCTAGGATTCTCAGGGTTCAGTGTTAATGAGAGAGGCTCATAGAGCCAGACTAAGGCTCCTCTAGGATTCTCAGGGTTCAGTGTTAATGACAGAGGCTCATAGAGCCAGACTATGGCTCCTTTAGGATTCTCAGGGTTCAGTGTTAATGACAGAGGCTCATAGAGCCAGACTAAGGCTCCTTTAGGATTCTCAGGGTTCAGTGTTAATGAGAGAGGCTCATAGAGCCAGACTAAGGCTCCTCTAGGATTCTCAGGGTTCAGTGTTAATGACAGAGGCTCATAGAGCCAGACTAAGGCTCCTCTAGGATTCTCAGGGTTCAGTGTTAATGACAGAGGCTCATAGAGCCAGACTAAGGCTCCTCTAGGATTCTCAGGGTTCAGTGTTAATGAGAGAGGCTCATAGAGCCAGACTAAAGCTCCTCTAGGATTCTCAGGGTTCAGTGTTAATGACAGAGGCTCATAGAGCCAGACTAAGGCTCCTCTAGGATTCTCAGGGTTCAGACTAGCTCATAGAGCCAGACAAAGGCTGCGTCGGGTGGCGGAAGGCGCACAACACAACACGCTAACTGCCGCTGTCACCCGCCCCACCACCGCCCCCCCACTCACAGGTGGAGAAGCAGCAGCAGCTGGGACAGGCACCCCAGGAGCACAAAGGGCAGCCCCTGGAGGCTCACAAGGACCCCAGCCTTCCCATTCAACACAACCCATTGGCCGGTGAGTGGGCTGCCAATGGCCGTGTCGGTGGGGTTCACAGTGGCCATGTTGGTAAGTTCACAGTGGCCATGTTGGTGAGTTCACAATGGCCATGTTCTTAGTTTTTTTTCGGTAAAGTCACGTTGAAGAGAAACAACAAAATAACAAAATATATATAAAACAATAAAAAAAATTCTCACGACGTTTCGACCATAACTCAAACGGTCATCATCAGGTGTGTCGGTTTGCATAAATTTATTTTGAAAACGGCATATTTATTTATTTATATATATATATAAATAACGTTTGCGTCACGCGCAACGATTGGCTGTTTGCCAGGACTAGTCCATCTATTTTTTGAAAAGAGGAGGGGGGAGACGAAATTTGTTTTTATGTATGCTGTCTGAAAGCCACTGTAAGCGTGAACAATCAATGATTCCGGACATACAATACCCTGGTGTCTACAAACTAAGTTGCCTCTGTGGTAGTAGTTACATTGGAGAAACCAAACGCCATATCTCGGACCGCATTCGTGAACATAAAGCAGACCTTAAACACGGTAGGACCAACACCTCGGCCGTAGCAGATCATTGTTCTAATTCAGTAGGCTCACATGCCATTGACTTTTCCAAGACGGAGGTTCTTTGTAAGCCATCTGGCTTCCATGAGAGATTCGTTCATGAGGCTATCCACATATACAAACACAGAGACAATTTCAACCGAGAAGATGGATTCTATCTTAGCAATCATTGGAAAGATTTGATAAATCATTTCAGTTCTTGATTGATTGTTCACGCTTACAGTGGCTTTCAGACAGCATACATAAAAACAAATTTCGTCTCCCCCCTCCTCTTTTCAAAAAATAGATGGACTAGTCCTGGCAAACAGCCAATCGTTGCGCGTGACGCAAACGTTATTTATATATATAAATAAATAAATATGCCGTTTTCAAAATAAATTTATGCAAACCGACACACCTGATGATGACCGTTTGAGTTATGGTCGAAACGTCGTGAGAATTTTTTATTGTTTTATATATATTTTGTTATTTTGTTGTTTCTCTTCAACGTGACTTTACCGAAAAAAAACTAAGAATATGAATTACTGCAGTCACGAAAGCTTTAAATCAAAATTTAATGGCCATGTTGGTGAGTTCACAGTGGCCATGTTGGTGAGTTCACAGTGGCCATGTTGGTGAGTTCACAGTGGCCATGTTGGTGAGTTCACAGTGGCCATGTTGGTGAGTTCACAATGGCCATGTTGGTGAGTTCACAGTGGCCATGTTGGTGGGTTCACAATGGCCATGTTGGTGGGTTCACAATGGCCATGTTGGTGAGTTCACAATGGCCATGTTGGTGAGTTCACAATGGCCATGTTGGTGAGTTCACAGTCGCCATGTTGGTGAGTTCACAATGGCCATGTTGGTGAGTTCACAGTGGCCATGTTGGTGGGTTCACAATGGCCATGTTGGTGAGTTCACAATGGCCGTGTTGGTGAGTTCACAGTGGCCGTGTTGGTGGGTTCACAGTGGCCATGTTGGTGAGTTCACAGTGGCCGTGTTGGTGGTTCACAGTGGCCATGTCGGTGGGGTTCACAGTGGCCATGTTGGTGAGTTCACAGTGGCCGTGTTGGTGGGTTCACAGTGGCCATGTTGGTGAGTTCACAATGGCCGTGTTGGTGGTTCACAATGGTCGTGTTGGTGAGTTCACAATGGCCATGTTGGTGAGTTCACAGTGGCCGTGTTGGTGGGTTCACAGTGGCCATGTTGGTGAGTTCACAGTGGCCGTGTTGGTGGTTCACAGTGGCCATGTCGGTGGGGTTCACAGTGGCCATGTTGGTGAGTTCACAGTGGCCGTGTTGGTGGGTTCACAGTGGCCATGTTGGTGAGTTCACAGTGGCCATGTTGGTGGTTCACAGTGGCCATGTTGGTGAGTTCACAATGGCCATGTTGGTGAGTTCACAATGGCCGTGTTTGGTGAGTTCACAGTGGCCATGTTGGTGGTTCATAGTGGCCATGTTGGTGAGTTCACAGTGGCCATGTTGGTGAGTTCAAAATGGCCGTGTTGTTGGGTTCACAATGGCCATGTTGGTGGGGTTCACAGTGGCCATGTTGGTGAGTTCACAGTGGCCGTGTCGGTGGGGTTCACAATGGCCATGTTGGTGGTTCACAATGTCCATGTTGGTGAGTTCACAATGGCCGTGTTGGTGGTTCACAATCTCCGTGTTGGTGGGTTCACAGTGGCCATGTTGGTGAGTTCACAGTGGCCATGTTGGTGAGTTCACAATGGCCGTGTTGGTGGTTCACAATGGCCGTGTTGGTGGGTTCACAGTGGCCATGTTGGTGAGTTCACAATGGCCGTGTTGGTGGTTCACAGTGGCCATGTTGGTGAGTTCACATTGGCCATGTTGGTGAGTTCACAATGGCCGTGTTGGTGGGGTTCACAGTGGCCGTGTTGGTGAGTTCACAGTGGCCATGTTGGTGAGTTCACAGTGGCCGTCTTGGTGAGTTCACAGTGGCCATGTTGGTGAGTTCACAGTGGCCATGTTGGTGGGTTCACAATGGCCATGTTGGTGAGTTCACAGTGGCCATGTTGGTGGGTTCACAGTGGCCATGTTGGTGAGTTCACAATGGCCATGTTTGTGAGGTCACAGTGGCCATGTTGGTGAGTTCACAATGGCCATGTTGGTGCGTTCACAATGGCCGTGTTGGTGGGTTCACAATGGCCGTGTTGGTGGGTTCACAATGGCCGTGTTGGTGAGTTCACAGTGGCCATGTTGGTGAGTTCACAGTGTCCGTGTTGTTGGGTTCACAATGGCCATGTTGGTGGGGTTCACAGTGGCCATGTTGGTGAGTTCACAGTGGCCGTGTCGGTGGGGTTCACAATGGCCATGTTGGTGGTTCACAATGTCCATGTTGGTGAGTTCACAATGGCCGTGTTGGTGGTTCACAATCTCCGTGTTGGTGGGTTCACAGTGGCCATGTTGGTGAGTTCACAGTGGCCATGTTGGTGAGTTCACAATGGCCGTGTTGGTGGTTCACAATGGCCGTGTTGGTGGGTTCACAGTGGCCATGTTGGTGAGTTCACAATGGCCGTGTTGGTGGTTCACAGTGGCCATGTTGGTGAGTTCACATTGGCCATGTTGGTGAGTTCACAATGGCCGTGTTGGTGGGGTTCACAGTGGCCGTGTTGGTGAGTTCACAGTGGCCATGTTGGTGAGTTCACAGTGGCCGTCTTGGTGAGTTCACAGTGGCCATGTTGGTGAGTTCACAGTGGCCATGTTGGTGGGTTCACAATGGCCATGTTGGTGAGTTCACAGTGGCCATGTTGGTGGGTTCACAGTGGCCATGTTGGTGAGTTCACAATGGCCATGTTTGTGAGGTCACAGTGGCCATGTTGGTGAGTTCACAATGGCCATGTTGGTGCGTTCACAATGGCCGTGTTGGTGGGTTCACAATGGCCGTGTTGGTGGGTTCACAATGGCCGTGTTGGTGAGTTCACAGTGGCCATGTTGGTGAGTTCACAGTGGCCATGTTGGTGAGTTCACAATGGCCATGTTCTTAGTTTTTTTTCGGTAAAGTCACGTTGAAGAGAAACAACAAAATAACAAAATATATATAAAACAATAAAAAAAATTCTCACGACGTTTCGACCATAACTCAAACGGTCATCATCAGGTGTGTCGGTTTGCATAAATTTATTTTGAAAACGGCATATTTATTTATTTATATATATATATAAATAACGTTTGCGTCACGCGCAACGATTGGCTGTTTGCCAGGACTAGTCCATCTATTTTTTGAAAAGAGGAGGGGGGAGACGAAATTTGTTTTTATGTATGCTGTCTGAAAGCCACTGTAAGCGTGAACAATCAATGATTCCGGACATACAATACCCTGGTGTCTACAAACTAAGTTGCCTCTGTGGTAGTAGTTACATTGGAGAAACCAAACGCCATATCTCGGACCGCATTCGTGAACATAAAGCAGACCTTAAACACGGTAGGACCAACACCTCGGCCGTAGCAGATCATTGTTCTAATTCAGTAGGCTCACATGCCATTGACTTTTCCAAGACGGAGGTTCTTTGTAAGCCATCTGGCTTCCATGAGAGATTCGTTCATGAGGCTATCCACATATACAAACACAGAGACAATTTCAACCGAGAAGATGGATTCTATCTTAGCAATCATTGGAAAGATTTGATAAATCATTTCAGTTCTTGATTGATTGTTCACGCTTACAGTGGCTTTCAGACAGCATACATAAAAACAAATTTCGTCTCCCCCCTCCTCTTTTCAAAAAATAGATGGACTAGTCCTGGCAAACTGCCAATCGTTGCGCGTGACGCAAACGTTATTTATATATATAAATAAATAAATATGCCGTTTTCAAAATAAATTTATGCAAACCGACACACCTGATGATGACCGTTTGAGTTATGGTCGAAACGTCGTGAGAATTTTTTATTGTTTTATATATATTTTGTTATTTTGTTGTTTCTCTTCAACGTGACTTTACCGAAAAAAAACTAAGAATATGAATTACTGCAGTCACGAAAGCTTTAAATCAAAATTTAATGGCCATGTTGGTGAGTTCACAGTGGCCATGTTGGTGAGTTCACAGTGGCCATGTTGGTGAGTTCACAGTGGCCATGTTGGTGAGTTCACAGTGGCCATGTTGGTGAGTTCACAATGGCCATGTTGGTGAGTTCACAGTGGCCATGTTGGTGGGTTCACAATGGCCATGTTGGTGGGTTCACAATGGCCATGTTGGTGAGTTCACAATGGCCATGTTGGTGAGTTCACAATGGCCATGTTGGTGAGTTCACAGTCGCCATGTTGGTGAGTTCACAATGGCCATGTTGGTGAGTTCACAGTGGCCATGTTGGTGGGTTCACAATGGCCATGTTGGTGAGTTCACAATGGCCGTGTTGGTGAGTTCACAGTGGCCGTGTTGGTGGGTTCACAGTGGCCATGTTGGTGAGTTCACAGTGGCCGTGTTGGTGGTTCACAGTGGCCAT